CGAGACAAAGGAGAGGTTATGTCGGAAATTTGGCTGTAACAAACGAACGATGACAAAAGCTTTGTTTCCGGTATGATAATTTGTATAGGCAACTACAATCACTTTACTTTTCCGTTCGTAATGAGTATAATTACAAATATATAGGCAACTTTAATCACAGATTTGTAACAAAAGTACTTTGTAGCTGTCATGTCATGTCATGTAGCTTGACATTTGACATATATACTTAACCTTTAATTTTATAATAGTTATAGTGTTTATAAGGCAGATGGCACTTATTGCTGTTATTGTTGATTTCGACAAATTCAGTTGCAGTATTTGCTATAAATTATCTCGACTGTGAGAATGATTAGACTAACTCCGATTGTAGTTAAGAGCAGGATGAGTATGCTGCAGACGTGGTGAATTGTGACTTGGGAAAACGTGATTTGATCTATAGACTTTTCATTTTCCGGATCGGAAACCCAATGCTGTTGTATGCGTTTCAGCATACCGAAATCCGCTAATTTCTGTATCCTGAAAAACTCAATCAATTTAGATTAATAAGCGTAGGTTTTGGTGTCTACTTAACTCCATTTGTATGATGTTTTTGAGTGGGAAAGTTTTGAGCATCAAAAATGAATTGGGTTTAACGAAAAGTTTATCTTTGAGGTAAGCGATTTCGCAAGAAATCGGAAATCTGCGTCTAACTGTAGAAATAACAGTTCGACTCTCCAAAACAACGACATTATCTCTGCAAAGAACCGGAGCGACGTTCTTCTGATCGTTCAAATCTAAACAACCGGGACCATTAACCAATCCTTTCCATTCAGGACTTAAGCTACGATTAGAGTCCTGAAAATTGAATTTATTTGTATACAAAAAGAAATTGAAGAATTTTAACATCAATTACAATGAAATCATTGTAGACAAAGCTGTTGGTGCGGACGCAAATCGAATGCGTTCTTTTTATTGAAACTTCTTCGAGCGATTTGAAAGGAAGCGCGAATTCGTAGCTCGCCAATTGCGCAACAAGAACCGCGTTCATCGCCGAATACAGTAGGAATCCGAAGAGCAAACACGTAAGCACTTGGATGCGCGCTGAAGTGCTCTTCACCCCCGGGTCGTAACCTAAAACATCAATCAAAAATAGAAATAAATATATATATTGCGCGGAAAATCTTGCCTTGGTTTAATAATCCGCTGAACACTGTGAACAGACACGTGGATATGGCTAAATCTCGATTTCCATATCCGAGTCTATTGGTTAGTTTGTTGGTTAAGCAAAGGATGAATCCGAAGGTTAAGAGTAGAGTTATACTCGCCGTCCATAAATTTGTATCCAAAGTTTTTAAATAATACGATGAAGATGCTGTAGCTTCCGGTTTTTTCATATAAAGGTGATACCTGAAAACGGTATTAAAAACGAACGAAAATGAAGTGAATTATGTTAGTTTTAGTTAAATTCGATCAAAGCGCCATCTTTTTGTTTTAACATAACTTGTCAATTGAAGCAACCATCACAACAATTAAGTAATGCCTTCTAATTGGATTGTTGATTGGATTGCATAAGTTAATATCAATTAATGTAGGCAACACGTATTACGTAAAACTATTGAAATTGAATTCTCAAGATTTTCGTGAAATGAAAAACGTAATTTTTTTAAATAATAGGATGAAGATGCTGTAGCTTCCGGTTTTTTCATGTAAAGGTGATACCTGCAAACGGTATTCAAAACGAACGAAAATAAAGTGAATTATGTTAGTTTTAGTTCAATTCGATCAAAGCGCCGTCTTTTTGCTACAACAGAACTTGTCAATTGAAGCAACCGTCACAACAATTAAGTAATGCCTTCTAATTGGATTGTTGATTGGATTGCATAAGTTAATATCAATTAATATAGGCAACACGTATTGCCTAAGACTATTGAAATTGAATTCTCAAGATTTTCGTGAAATGAAAAACGTAATTTTTACACGGAAAGTGGAGGGAATTCCGGTAATCCACTTAAAATGCGGACAATTAGTATCCAAAGTTTTTAAATAATACGATGAAAATGCTGTAGCTTCCGGTTTTATCATATAAAGGTGATACCTGAAAACGGTATTCAAAACGAACGAAAATAAAGTGAATTATGTTAGTTTTAGTTAAATTCGATCGAAGCGCCATCTTTTTGCTACAACAGAACTTGTCAATTGAAGCAACCATCACAACAATTAAGTAATGCCTTCTAATTGGATTGTTGATTGGATTGCATAAGTTAATATCAATTAATATAGGCAACACGTATTGCCTAAGATTATTGAAATTGAATTCTCGAGATATTCGTGAATTCTCAAAACGTAATTTTTACACGGAAAATCGAGGGAAATCCGGTAATTCACTTAAAATGCGGACAATTAGTATCCAAAGTTTTTAAATAATACGATGAATATGCTGTAGCTTCCGGTTTTTTTCATATAAAGGTGATACCTGAAAACGGTATTTAAAACGAACGAAAATAAAGTGAATTATGTTAGTTTTAGTTAAATTCGATCGAAGCGCCATCTTTTTGCTACAACAGAACTTGTCAATTAAAGCAACCATCACAACAATTAAGTAATGTCTTCTAATTGGATTGTTGATTAGATTGCATAAGTTAATATCAATTAATGTAGGCAACACGTATTACGTAAAACTATTGAAATTGAATTCTCAAGATTTTCGTGAAATGAAAAACTTAATTTTTACACGGAAAATGGAGGGAAATCCGGTAATCCAAATAAAATGCGGACAATTTGTATCCAAAGTTTTTAAATAATACAATGAAAATGCTGTAGCTTCCGGTTTTTTATGTACAGGTGATACCTGCAAACGGTATTCAAAACGAAAATAAAGTGAATTATGTTAGTTTTAGTTAAATTCGATTATTGAAATTGAATTCTCAAGATTTTCGTGAAATTTCAAAACGTAATTTTTACACGGAAAATCGAGGGAAATCCGGTAATCCCTTAAAATGCGGACAATTAGTATCCAAAGTTTTTAAATAATACGATGAAATGCTGTAGCTTCCGGTTTTTTCATGTAAAGGTGATACCTGAAAACGGTATTCAAAACGAACGAAAATAAAGTGAATTATGTTAGTTTTAGTTAAATTCGATCGAAGCGCCATCTTTTTGCTACAACAGAACTTGTCAATTGAAGCAACCATCACAACAATTAAGTAATGCCTTCTAATTGGATTGTTGATTGGATTGCATAAGTTAATATCAATTAATTAGGCAACACGTATTACGTAAAACTATTGAAATTGAATTCTCAAGATTTTCGTGAAATGAAAAACTTAATTTTTACACGGAAAATGG